AGCCGGCTGGGGTTATTTTTCTTTTTTGAAAATTATTTTTTCCAAATACACCCCCGAAACCCACCATGCAACAACTATATATTTACTTATCTACATGGGGAAGTGGAACAGAATTCTTCCTCCGTAAGCCATGCATGTTATAAGATACGACTAAAATGCCAGGAGCAAGGGGCTAATAACCTCTTCTCCTGTATACATTACACGTACTAAAGTTAAAAAGATAATTTTTTTTATTTATTGGCCACCCTGTTTTGGTGGGATACAGCAGTTTGTTGAAAAAAGAAAAAGATATTCATTTTTCTATCTTTCTTACTTTCTTCTATACTCTCTTCCTTTCAGTTAACACTAACTATGGTCATAAGAAAAGGAAAACTTGCCCATGTTCAGTACAAGTTCAATTTTAATACAAGCAAAACTACTTATTTCATGTTCAGTCTAAATTTCACTGAGCAATATGCTGAATTCAACCTTAAAATGTATTAAATTACTCTTTACCAGTGAGACAAATTATAGATTTTGTACTGAATAGTTCCAAGTCCAACTGTATATGTATGTGTTATTAGATTACTAAGGTACACGTGACAAATAATGTATAGTACACTATTCTAAAACAACCAAAAGGGTTATAAACCAACAAAATTTATACAGCATTTTAAACCATGAGTGTGCGGGGGATTCATGATTAACCCTTTGACTGTTTCAGTCGAATACTATATACGTTTTACGAGCCAATGTGTTTGACGTACTAATACGCCAAAATTCTAGTGGCTTCAAATCAAGCAGGAGAAAGCTGGTAGGCCTACATGTGAGAGAATGGGTCTTCATGGTCAGTGTGCGCAGTATAAAGAAAAACGGGGAGCCAATGGTGCATTGTAGTATTATTCTGCAGCAGTATTCTGAATCAATGGACCAAGTCCACTGATTCCAAACTTTGTCCATTTAAGTTAAAATCATGAAAAATTAATTTCATAACTTGGAATCTATGGACAACTGGCAATAATGTACACCCCTCCCATCCCTATTAGTCCATTAATTCAAGGGTTCACTGTACTGAAAATCTGTTAGTCTGAACCCATAAGTGTCATACATTGCATGGGGAATGAGAGGTAATCAGGTTTACACCAGAAAATATAGTACTAGTATGTGCATTAAATTCCTTGGATCAAGTCCTTCTCTACCATTAAGACAACCCCATGGAAAGAGAGAACAAAGAAAAATATGAATTCAATATTCAAATACCCAAACCTTACCACTATATAAAAATGCAATACTGTTTCATTTACCATAATATATTTTGCAGTTACATTAACCAGTTCAAACACAGGAACACTGGAGGGATTTGGATGTGTTTCAAGTATGGTATAGATTGGTCAATTCTAAGACTTAACCCTTATGAGTTTTGCTGTATTTTTCATAGTTTTTTTTAAGGTATTTTTTTAATGTAAGGCCAAACAGTCATTATTCCAACTTATGAGCAACTGTAAACCACTTGCTGCCATGTCTGGAACTACAACAGCTTCACATCTCATCTCACTCCCCTTGGAACTGAGATGAGATCTCATCTCATATATAAATATATATATATTATATATATATATATATATATATAATATATATATTATATATATATATTTTTTTTTTTTTTTTTCAACAAGTCGGCCGTCTCCCACCGAGGCAGGGTGACCCAAAAAAGAAAGAAGTCCCCAAAAAGAAAATACTTTCATCATCATTCAACACTTTCACCACACTCGCACATTATCACTGTTTTTTGCAGAGGTGCTCAGAATACAACAGTCTAGAAGCATACACATATAAAGATACCACAACATATCCCTCCAAACTGCCAATATCCCAAACCCCTCCTTTAAAGTGCAGGCATTGTACTTCCCATTTCCAGGACTCAAGTCCGACTATATGAAAATAACCGGTTTCCCTGAATCCCTTCACTAAATATTACCCTGCTCACACTCCAACAGATCGTCAGGTCCCAAGTACCATTCGTCTCCATTCACTCCTATCTAACACGCTCACGCACGCTTGCTGGAAGTCCAAGCCCCTTGCCCACAAAACCTCCTTTACCCCCTCTCTCCAACCCTTTCGAGGACGACCCCTACCCCGCCTTCCTTCCCCTATAGATTTATATGCTTTCCATGTAATTCTACTTTGATCCATTCTCTCTAAATGACCAAACCACCTCAACAACCCTCTTCTGCCTCTTGACTAATACTTTTATTAATCCACACCTTCTCCTAATTTCCACACTCCGAATTTTCTGATAATATTTACACCACACATTGCCCTTAAACAGGACATCTCCATGCCTCCAACCGTCTCATCGCTGCTGCATTCACCACCCAAGCTTCACACCCATATAAGAGTGTTGGTACTACTATACTTTCATACATTCCCTTCTTTGCCTCCATAGATATACGTTTTTTTTACTCCACATATACCTCAACGCACCACTCACCTTTTTTCCCTCATCAATTCTATGATTAACCTATCCTTCATAAATCCATCCGCCGACACGTCAACTCCCAAGTATCTGAAAACATTCACTTCTTCCATACTCCTCCTCCCCAATTTGATATCCAATTTTTCTTTATCTAAATCATTTGACACCCTCATCACCTTACTCTTTTCTATGTTCACTTTCAACTTTCTACCTTTACACACATTCCCAAACTCATCCACTAACTCCCCTACTCTGTTTTTAACTGACAAATCCATACTTTCCCTAGGCTTTTAACTTGTTTAACTCACTCCAAAATTTTTTCTTATTTTCATTAAATTTCTTGACAGTGCCTCTCCCACTCTATCATCTGCTCTCCTTTTGCACTCTCTCACCACTCTCTTTACCTTTCTTTTACTCTCCATATACTCTGCTCTTCTTACAACACTTCTGCTTTGTAAAAACTCTCATAAGCTACCTTTTTCTCTTTTATCACACCCTTTACTTCATCATTCCACCAATCACTCCTCTTTCCTCCTGCCCCCACCTCCTATAACCACAAACTTCTGCCCCACATTCTAATACTGCATTTTTAAACTTTCCAACCCTCTTCAACCCCCCCACTACTCATCTTTGCACTAGCCCACCTTTCTGCCAATAGTCGCTTATATCTCACCCGAACTTCCTCCTCCCTTAGTTTATACACTTTCACCTCCCTCTTACTTGTTGTTGCCACCTTCCTCTTTTCCCATCTACCTCTTACTCTAACTGTAGCTACAACTAAATAATGATCCGATAATCAGTTGCCCCTCTATAAACATGTACATCCTGGAGCCTACCCATCAACCTTTTATCCACCAATACATAATCTAATAAACTACTTTCATTACGTGCTACATCATACCTTGTATATTTATTTATCCTCTTTTTCATAAAATATGTATTACTTATTACCAAATCTCTTTCTACACATAGCTCAATAAAGGCTCCCCATTTACATTTACCCCTGGACCCCAAATTTACCTACTACTCCCTCCATAACATTTTTACCCACTTTAGCATTGAAATCCCCAACCACCATTACTCTCACACTTGATTCAAAACTCCCTACGCATTCACTAAACATTTCCCAAAATCTCTCTCTCTCCTCTACACTTCTCTCTTCTCCAGGTGCATACACGCTTATTATAACCCACTTTTCACATCCAATCTTTATTTTACTCCGCATAATCCTTGAATTAATACATTTATAGTCCCTCTTTTCCTGCCATAGCTTATCCTTCAACATTATTGCTACTCCTTCTTTAGTTCTAATTCTATTTGAAACCCCTGACCTAATCCCATTTATTCCTCTCCACTGAAACTCTCCCACCCCCTTCAACTTTGTTTCACTTAAAGCCAGGACATCCAGCTTCTTCTCATTCATAACATCCACAATCATCTCTTTCTTATCATCTGCACAACACCACGCACATTCAGACTTCCCACTTTGGGCAATTTTCTTCTTATTCTTTTAGTAATCTTTACAGGAAAAGGGGTTACTAGCCCATTGTTCCCCGGGATTTTAGTTGACTTTTACAACACGCATGGCTTACGGAGGAAAGATTTCTTATTTCCCCTTCCCCATGGGGTATAAAAAGGGAAAAGTAATAAGACCAAGAACTATTAAGATAAAAACAAAGAAAACTCAGATGAATGTGTATAAATAAATGTGTACATGTATGTGTAGTGTGACCTAAGTGTAAGTAGAAGTAGCAAGACATGCCTGTAATCTTGCATATTATGAGACAGACAAAAGACACCAAACAACCTACCACATTTTAAAACAATTACAGGCTTTCGTTTTACACTCACTTGGCAGGACGGGGTACCTCCCTTGGTGGTTGCTGTTTTACCAACCTACTACCTAGGTTAGGTAGAGTGAGATAGAAAAAATATATATATATATTTATA